CAGAACTTCTCAACTTGGCTATTACTTTGTGTCTACGAGTAGCCTAGTGTCAAGCGAGTACATTTGCGATAATGGAGAAGCGGTGAATCTTGTTTCTCTCGGTCAATGCGTGAAGTACCCATGCGACGTGTTTCTGGACCTTTTGCATTGGGTGAACATGAGCGACATTAACATGAGAGCATCTTCTGAGCGGTCTGGCTGATTGCTCTTTAATCACCACGTACAAATGGTTCTTATCTAAAGGAACAGGTCGATAAGAACGAAGAGAGTCTGCGAGTTCCAACTCCCCCCCTCCTTGAAACGGGAAAACCAATTTCTGCGCCGTTCTGTTGGTAACCGATGTCATCTCCGTGTACAACACAAATGCTTCGAGCAGCTTTGACAGATTTGTGACGTTGATTAAAAGCAAAGAGATGTCAAACACGCTCATTCTTGTCTACTTGGCATTCCATCAAGTAGGGATGTCTAATCTAAAATAAAATTTCTATAACGTTAGACAACAGTTTCACTGGATGGTCAGAGTTACTAAGAAGCAAAAACTGCTACGAAAGATTATTCGTCTAGATCATTTGCAGAACCTAAGCACAAACAAACGACTAAATAAAGTAACAGCCTATGAATCTGAACTTGTTCTATTAAGAATATAAGAATTAATTAAGAATTATTTGATTAAGAAATAAGAACTGTTGTGCACATAAGCCACCATAAATTGTACCGAATAAAAAGATTATCATCCTCTGGAATTTCGGTGTTCAGTCTGATAGAGAAATCCGGGCAAATCGACCAGAAATAATTGTTAAAAATCATGTTGAAATTACATGTCTGCTGATAAATGTTGCAGCTGCAGCCGACTAAAGCATCTTTGAAAATGTTTAGGAAAGCTAAGTAAATCTTAGTACCGCGAGATAGAAATCAGTAGAATGTGCCATCTGAAAGACAACAACACTACCTGTAGCTAGTGGAGTTCTTGAAACGATATCAAAAAACGCGGAGACAAATATGTGAATGAAATGGCTGGTTGCCCCAACATATGTGAATTGTAAACAATCATTTTTATAACTACTCACAGATTGACTTTAATCGCATTTTGTACGTTAACGATTGTGTCTTAAGAAATGAAGTTCAAACCACTGAGACAATAAACGGGAAGATGACTCCCTACAAAATAAAGGATGAATCTATATCTATAATTCTCAAAATGTGTATGTGTATGTATGTGTGTGTGTGTATGTCATCGGATGTTGTTTATTTTCCACAGTTTTCATCCGATTTCGATGATTTTTTTTTGTTTCATAGTTAATTCTTCAGGGCCGATGTTGAGTCCAAATTGACTGGAAAAAATTACAACTTTGAAGGTGAAAAATCGAAAACCTCATTTTTTACACTTTGCTCAAAAATCAACGGCAAAATTAAATGCTTGGAAAAGACAGCGTACAATCAATTTAGAGAGTTGAATTCTAACGCAATTATTAGAATTATAAAAAAAATATATTATAAATAAAAATTATCGTATATTATTATTATGACGGTTCCTGGAAGTGATTACTTCCTTACAAGATTGAGAACGCAAAAACGGCCCTTTTCAGGGTCACACCCCATTCAAATTTTTAACCTTCCATTTGGGGATGTGCCTCTGTTGCACCCAAATGTTGTTACTATTATTGATTGTCGGGTGGGTTGACTTAACTTAATCTGCTCCAATTGAACGGCAAAAATTCCCAGTAATGAAACACCCGCTCGAAGACGGGTTATGATGCTAGTAGGTTATATAATAATCATGTTTAAATCAAAGTTTAAAACATTTCTCATTGCTGATTTTCTATAACTGAATCTGCGCACTGCAAGCCAAAATTTAAACATGATACTTATTCTGATTTGAACTTTGTTGAATACATTTCCTTCCTGTGTGTGACGGGGAATAAATGGTTGAACTAGGTTTCTGCGACCTGATCTCGAAACTTTCTATATGATAAGGGAATTCATACAACTTACACTGAGTAGACACATACTTAATCCCTTATTATCCCATTGCTAAGGAGGAAGGTTCGCTTAATCTTCTTTGAAAAACTGTTAAATTATGGAACGGACTCACCAGAGAATGCTGATAACTACAATCTTAAACTCTTCAGAGTCAGACGTTATCTAACCTACATACCATCGTAATATATACCTCTTGATCTCTCCTTACAATAGCCGCATTTAGCAACCCAATACATTAATTGGCTCTTGAGTCTACTAATGGGTGAACAATAGTAAAAATAAAATGATTCATCATTTGCAGCACATATATGTGTGTCTGTTACTAAATATATATATATTTTTAAGAACTAGTGTATTTTGGAACGAACTCCCGAGAGAATGCTTTTCCGACATCTACAATCTTAAACTCTTTAAGTTTAGAGTCAGCCGTTATATATCTTACATATCCTTATAATATGCAGCTCATGCTCCCCACTTGCAGCAACCGGATTCAGTAATCTTCTACTTTGAGTGGCTCTTGTGGCTTCTAATGGATGAAAAATATTAAAAAAACTGATTCAACGTTTGAGGTACGTACCTATGTGTTTATTGCCAAATTAAACTTGAAAAATTCATCAAGTTACATTTTAAGCTCCATATCGTTGATGAAGGAAAACAGCCCTCAAATAGAAAAAGACAGAAAAGGGTGTTAGTTTGAATTGGCTAAATCAGCAGAATATATTGGACGTGGCAGAAGTTCCCAACCGAGCTCTTTCTTTCTATCAACGAATAGCCTAGTGTCGAGCGAGTAAACTGCTGCCGATGGATTACAAAATACTTTCTTGATGATTTGGTTAGGAAAACTTATAAAACATAACTTTGTGATAAATCTTTCGGCAGTTTTCTCTTTGTATATTTTATATGAATCTGTTTTATATACTTTTCTTTTTATCAAGCTGGGGTAGACTGTTCTAGTTCCACGTGCCATGTTTGATGGATGTCAGTTATCAGTTATCTCCTGCTAATTTTCCCTCTGAAAGTTCTCCACTGCCTTAACCAGGAATTGAACTCACCTTCTTTGGGTCTGTCACTGGATCTAACCAACGCCTTTATCCACTGTGCCATGTATCCACATCCATCAAACATGGCACGTGGAACTAGAATAGTCTACCCCAGCGATCGAAATAAAGGGTTCAGTTCGAAATTCCAACCACCTGAAGAAGGCCGGAGCGTACAACGGCCGAAACGTTGTGACAAATATGGCGACAAAGATGAGGACAATAGTCCGACTAATGTAAATACTGTACATAATACCTCATCTCAGAAATATAGACAGACTCTTGTGAGTTAGGTTATACGCTGTCATCCACTTGTTCCTCTTGCCTTCAATCTGTCCTGTGAGTATTAAATTTTCCAAGCCTTCTTTCCTCATTATCTGCCATGGAAATGTAAATTATCTCTTTTTCATGTTAAGTATAATTGTCCTTTTTTTCTATTTTTTTCTAAAAAATCTGTCCATGGTATTCTCAGTATCCTTCTGTAGAACCACATTCATCTGACTTCCAGTCTTTTCTTCATCTGTGAGAATGATTGTCCACCATTCACTTTTATATAGGAGAATTGATATTATGTAATAGTTCATGACTCTTTTCTTTCTTTCTAACGCAATTTTCCTAATTCTTAATACTTTTGCGAGGAGAAGGACATCACTGAATTCAAAACAGTATGCGGCCCTCGTGTAGAATATATTTAAACAGCAGCTTAACCGCGTGTTTGTGGGTCGTTTTATACGGTAGGTATATGCGTAAGTCGGAATTTAGAGCTAAAACTCTTGGGGTCGACTTGTGCGCTGCAGTTCACGGCATGAATTATAAAAAGTTACTCAAAAACATAATCACGGGCGTGTGTGATTTGATTAGAGTTTTGTGTTTATTTTGTGGAAATTTTTAAAGAAAGGAAAATCCAAAGAATTTTATTTGCCATGTTTTGAGGAAGCAATGAATATTGAATTAAGAAAATCAGCTTTCTTTTTTTTTCTGTTTAATTTCCATTAGGTGCGTCTATGTTTTTCCGTGTTCTTTGACATATAAATAATCGAGAATCGTTGAACCAAGAGAGCGAACGATTTTTACATCCCAAATGCTGAACCTGCGTCCTTATATTGCTTTCCTAACCTCATATTCTGATTACTCATCTTCCATAAATAAAGATGAAAGAATAATGCAGTATTTCTGCCGGAATTTCTAGAATGAAGAGTTATTATTTACATTCGGACTAAATGTTATGAATAATTAAGAGTAGTATTCCCTTGTTTTGTTACTCTCCTATTTGAGAAACCTATTTCTGTTTACTGGGACTATAAAAGGACACTATACTTGAACTTTGTATTCTCTGTTGAATAAAGCTTTCTTTAAGCCTACACTTGCGTACTTTTGTCATTACACTAATGTCCTCACCTTTGTTGTTATTATCTCATTTTTTTCGGGCATTGTAACTTCCGGCTTGATTTAGATGTCTATCAATCCAAATAACTTTCAGCGGATTTCAAACGAGCGATATCTTGTCTTGTTCTATTTGAGTACTGTTCACTTATGGCTCGTTCTGATTCCATTGAGTGTAAAAACTACGTTACCCTGCCCAGGATATGAACTCATATTTACTACTACCAAATCCATTAAGGTATTTTCCCTTGTGACAACTCGACAGACACCTGAAAAGTGTCGAGGCAACAAAAGATTAAAGCTTCTGATAAAAAAAAAAAAACATGCGGTATTTGTGACCAATAACAATTCTAAAATAGAAATAAATAAGAAAGACCGAGGTTGCCTCCCGTGAAAATGAAAAAGAACTTAACAGAAATAAATTTCCGAAATTCAATAAATATTAGTTACTCTCAAGTAAACCAACTATTTAGACTTCAAAAAAAAAAAAATCCCTTTCAGTTTTGCGATGCGTCGTGAAAAAAAAGCGAAGAGTTGTCGTGGATCCAAAAGTAAACTTATTCTTTCTTCAAATCAGAGACGAAACATGATTGTTTTCCGCCATGTCATGTTGAAGCACCGACTCCCGTAGAATCACAGAAGTTAAGCAATGTTGAGTCTGGTCAGTGTCTAGATGGGTGACCGCTTGGAAATACCGGGTGCCGTAAGTTTGGAAGTCCGCATAGACACACATGACATGGCTTAAGGTCATGTGTGTCAAATTTTACAAGCCTTCTTTCCTCACTATACACCCTATAAATTTCCGCTTTTTGATTCTAAGTCGTTTTTGTGGTAATGATTTAATTCGATTTGTTTGTTTAACGGCACATTATGGCTCATTGAATGCCGAAATTTAATTTCCTTGGGAGTTGTGAAATAATAAAAATACGATATATGTTATTCTGCTTTCACAATGGAATACATGGTAAATGAAACTCAGCTTTAGTGGATACACATGTTTGTGTGGATATGATTATTGGAGGCAATGAGTAAAGCTTTATTATGATAAAGAATAGACTAGACAACTCCGATGAACATAGAGTTCATAAGATTCATTTGTTTATCGGCATATCAACTCCTTCATGAGTCATTTAATGTCGAAATTTATCTTTCTTGGAAGCTTTCAAGTAATAAAAATATATGTTATTGTGCTTTCACAATTGAATACATGGTAGATAATATGCAGCTTTTGTGCACATACATGTTTGTTTGGAGATAATTACTAGAGGCGGTGATATGTGCATCTTATATTGTAGTTTTGTTGAAGTTATATTTTGGAATACAGTTTGATTTCTTTAAGAAATTATAGGATATTACATAGATTGATGTCATGAAAAACTTCTTTCGTGTTAGTTGTTTGGTTGATTTCGTTTCGCGACATATCAACATCTCTGTGGGTTCTTTTATGTCGAAATCTAAATTAAATGCCTTCCACTACAGATAAAATGTTTTGTTCTTCATTTTACTATAAATATTTATTGTTGGTAATTTTACTATAAACATGCATTTTTGTACGTTCATAGTATTTGTTTGGGGGGTTCACTATTTGCCCATAGCTTGGACCCTAACAGGTGCTACCACCCCGGGTCTGAGTGGATCTGAGAACAACAGAAATTAAGAGGTGGTTCTTCTCAATACCTCTAATCTCCAGATCAGAAACTTTGCTGCCAGATGTAGTTCATCGTCATAACCAGGTCTCCTTTCCAAAGTTCATTTCGTTCAGTTGGTAAACGTTTGCATTTCGCTTTTTTCTTTTTAAAACGGGTATCAAAGAATCATTTACGTACTACCGGATTGATTTGATTTGATTTGCTTGTTTAACGGCATATCAACTCCTTCATGGGTCATTTAATATCTGAATTTAATATTTTGGGGAGCTTTGAAGTAATAAAAATATGATATATGTTATTCTGCTTTCACAATTGAATACATGGTAGATGATACTCAGCTTTTGTGCATATACATGTTTGTTTGGTTTGTTTTGTTTTACGGCATATCAACTTCAAGGGGTTATTTAATGCCGACTGGAAAAAAATTGCTGGTAATATTTTTTTCCAAAAATGTAATACTGGTAATAATTTTTCCTCATAATTGTATTGCTGGTAATATTTATTTTCTTCAAAAATGTATTGCTGGTAATAATTTTTCCTCAAAAAATTATTGCTGGTATTAAAACCTATTTTTATAATTTCATAGTGTTGGACCCCAGTTTGGGGGTTACCTATTTGCCCAGAGTTGGGACCCTAACAGGTCAGGGTGGACCTGGAAATACCAGCAATTCAGCAATTAAGAGGTGGTTCCACGCTCCTCAAAACCACCTGATCAGAGGTTTTGCTGTTGGATGTAGTTTATCGTCATACCCAGGACGTGGATGTAGTTTATCGTCATACCCAGGACGTGGATGTAGTTTATCGTCTTACCCAGGACGTGGATGTAGTTTATCGTCTTACCCAGGACGTGGATGTAGTTTATCGTCATACCCAGGACGTGGATGTAGTTTATCGTCTTACCCAGGACGTGGATGTAGTTTATCGTCTTACCCAGGACGTGGATGTAGTTTATCGTCATACCCAGGACGTGGATGTAGTTTATCGTCTTACCCAGGACGCTACATGTTTGTGTGGCCATGATTACCAGAGGCAGTGATATGTGCGTTTTGTTTCAGTTTCGTTAAAGTTATATTTCGGAATAGAGTTTGATTTAAGGAGTTGTAGGATATTATACGGCTTAATATCATGAAAGAGTTCTTTCATATTGATTGTTTGGTTGATTGATTTTATTTAGCGGAATATCCATTATTTAATTCCGAAATCTAAATATTTTGAACTCAGTTATATGGCTTCAGCTAAACATTTTTTGAACGTATTTATACGCCATCAAGTATAGATAAAATGTACTGTTGGTAATTCAACAATAAAATTGTATTGTTGGTCATTTTACTGTAAATAGGTATTGTTGGTAATTTTATTATAACTAGGTAGTGTTGGTAATTTACGGAAGATAATTTTATTCATCATAGTCTTCAATGTTGATTTTATAAATTCGAGATGTCAAAACAACAGCTTCCTTATTTGTATATTAATTTCACAAATTTCTCCTTCATTGTGATATTAGCACTGAAAAAAATTATTGAGGATGAAGGCAGTGCTACCATATTTTCAGTTCCTGATTTCTTTCAGGTTAGCACGACACGCAATACTACTTCCACAGAGTCGAATCACCCTGATTTCCCAAATTTAAAATAAAAGTTCCACTTAGAAAGTTTTATTAAAAGAACTGCAATTTTGTGTAACAGACTACTGCGGAGTGCTTTCCGGAACACTAAAATATTAGCCACTTCAATTCTTAATCTTCCTTATTTTCACTTCCTAAAACATTTCCTTTCATTCATATCACACAGCTTCTCTCTTTTGACATCAATTTCAGAAATCACCTTCCTTGCGGCATATCTATTACAAAATTTTGAAAATAATTTCAAGGAAGACTGTATAGCCACATTTCATGATTCCTCTAAAGGCATGGTAGATGTTCACATTCATCAAATCGACTTTGATTTTGTATTCCTTTGCCTTTCTTGTTCTTATTAGTCGGGAATGTCACTCGGCGTGGTATCCTACTGCTGCTGCTGTAGCTCATCTGATTCAAGGCTTGTCGTGTTGTGCGCTCAAAGATTCTCTTCTTATACTTCATCTGTCAAGAGTGCTTATTTGAACCACTATCGACTTTCTATCAGCTTGAGCCAGTCTAAGCTATCATCATCTACAAGGGGCTTCCGTCTACAGTATTGCCGGAGACCATTATTTTTAACTTGTTTAGATTTTTATGATACTGTGTTGGACCATCTTGACTGTGCAACACTTTGTTAGTAACGTCTGATAAAAATACATTTAATTTTATGCGTAAAATTATTGATTATGTAAATTCTGAAGGCTGTCGAATTAATGTCGGCCGCGAGGGTATCTGGAATTTCGGAAACTTCAAACGAACGCTGGATTTTCTTTGAGAACCATTCCGCCTTTTCTCCTCAATGGCCGATCTTTTATATAACTTTCTGCCATCCGCTTGGAGGCTAGGATTTCATCATGTCCACCCTCAAAGGCACCTAGCTTTTTTGATGTTCTGATTGGACGCCGAAGAGAAAATCTACTTTGGTAATCCTTCAGATGAACCCAGTAGAAAATGGTCTCGCCACAGATCAAGAGTTCCTGATTGATATAAATTTATATTAAGACCCCTGGCATAGATTTCGTTCCACAATCGTATTTTGACCTTCATTTAAAACTGGCTACCAATATATGTTCTCTTTTCATCTGTTTAACTCCACGAAGTAGGAGGCATGGTTTGATTAAATAATACTCTCCCTTTTCTAATTTTTGTCGTCATTAAACAACCTATTGAGGTTGATATGCCGTAAAACAAACCAAATCAAACCAACCAAACCCTTTTCTAATTAAATAATGCCATAGTTTTATTGCATTTTTTTTATTTCACGATTCAGTGCAGATTTTTGGTAAATGGTGTTTGTGTTTGACTAAAACAAATTGATGATTTAAATTCTCCAAGGAATCCTGCTTTTACTAATGTAAACAAAAAATTAAGTAAGTGGTTGTAACAGATGTAAAAAAAACTAAATTTTTACCACGATTTTTTAAAAAGAAACATTTCAAAACTAATTTCCTCCATTTGTGAATAAGTTCTGAAAATTTCATTAAAATCCTACAATTATTTGATTTTTGCAAGAATTTGCAAAACAATGTGTTTTTTGCCACAAAAAAGAGGTTAAATTTCCCATTCTAATCTTTATCCACAAAGATGTTTAACCAAAATTTTGAACGTGATAAAAAGGATTAAAACAATTAATAAAATAACCAGAAAAAACTTTGGTCTTTCCTCTTAGTAATAACATAAACATTTTGACGATAAAACTTTATTTTTCTCAAGTTTGCGGCCTTTTTTTTATCATTTAAGGCTCTTTTTTGTTTTAGCAAAGTTTTGGTGGGTACCTAAGGAAAATCATTTTTTGTTAGTTACCAAAGACCGTTTCACGATCTCTCAACATCAGCCATAATGACTGCCTTATTTCAACGGGGCTGAGGCGGTAATTTCAAAACAACAACACGTGACGATAGCAATAGCATTGATATTTCCCGGCAATAGAAGAACAATATCTTTTAAACAAACTTGAAATTTCATTTCTATGTCGTTTGATTTTCCGAATTTATAGCGTTTCCTCGTTCTTTTTATGTTCTAAAAGGTACATCTCAGATAGTGTCGACACAGCTCGACATTTAATCAAAATAATGAAAGTTAAAGGAATATTCTTACAATATAAATCGTATCACACCACTTTCCAAAGATACTCCTTTGTGTAGAATTGGCTGAAAATTAAACATTCCGTTGAAAATTAAAAATTGAATCGCCATATTCTTAATGTTCAATCAAAAAGATTTGATATTACATTGTATAATGATAAAATGTATTGTTTAAATTATTTCAATAATTTCCGTAACATTTCAGTCTTCACTCAATGAAGCTTTCAAAATCTTTTTCAAAGTCATCTACCGAAACGTCCGATAGGAATTGTAATTAATAATAAAAGACAAAAGAACCGCCTTCTCCGTCTAGAAATTTCTACGTTTTCGCTGGAGTAATTCTAAGATGTTTTCTG